ATCCAAAGCCTTGAGGCACTGACGCTTCATTCAATCACAGAAGCTCTATACGCCAGCGTCCAACAAATTTTGCCCAAAGCACTCATATGGAAATGGTCGGCCATCACGACGAGAGCAAGCAAATGCATAGTCAATAGACTTCATTGCCTGGACGAATGTTTTTAACTACGGTCATACTTTGTGCAAGAGACCTTGCCCAGAACAAGCTGTCAAGGGGCAACTTCAAGCGTCGAGTTGCCTCCACAAGGCATTCCTTCGTCCCCTAGATAGAAGTAGATTCCGTAGCCATGAGCGATTGCGCACGTTAGCGTCATGTTCGTTCCTTATTTGGACATAGCGCAGCGAATCAAGGCAAACTGACAGCAGTGGCTTTGCAGCAAAGCTTCTCCCTCACCGTCTCGTATGGGGTGCTCTTTGGTGTTCTTTTCTGAGGGAAGCGCGGCAGAGTCACTTTGGCACGGTCGCAAGAATCAATGATAATTCAAAGTAGATCACGCTCCGTTTTTGATCTTTGGCGGGCTAACCAGTAGATATCTGCCTGTCGCGCGACTGGCGACTGTAGTGTGCTAGCAGACGATCGCACAGACGAGCGTGTTGCATGAAATCCTCAAGAGAGGCTGATCACCCAATAAACGTTTTGCAATCCAACAATTTTGATTTTCAGATTGAAAGGCAAGTAACGGTCGCGCTCTGAAGTTGCGCCTTGAGGTGGGAGCACTCCCAGCACACCGAGTGTACGGACGGTTGTGGAAAGCGCAAACACAAATGCCAGCGTTTTGCTTCTTCATAGAATAGGGTTCGACCAGCAGGGGTCTCGTTCGCAATATTGCAGTAGCCAATGTAAATCAAGTAAAGTGTCCTTGCGTTCTGGCAAGGACTCTGGGTCGCAATTAAAGCTTAGTTGCATTGTGGGACCAGTTAGTCGCGCATCAATCAGGCTAGCAGTGCTTGTCAGGACTGCCAATTTTTTAAAATACTTTGAACTTCACGAGTCCTCCTTGTCCCCCAAGCATTCGGCGATCCTGACCATTGTAGCTCCGTTTGCAGCGATCCTTTACCATGAAGAATCACTGTTTGTAAGCGGGATTGTCGGGTGAACACAAATGGAGGGGATGTTCATGCTGCATCGCCCAGGTACAGGATTGGAAAGCTCCAGCACAAAGCTCTACAACGCATACAGGGAGCGGAAAAAAGGATGGTGATCCGGCCGCTCTGGTTCGACAATGCTTTTGCTTTCTCAATCGCCAAGGCCAGGCAGGCTTCAGTTTGAATGAGACTGCATTGAGACGTGGTCATTGTCATTGTTAATTTTTCTGATCTTTGTCCGTTACAGGTGTACCCGGAAGTGGCTACAGGATTCCCACGCAGGACTCAGCGCTTCTACAAACCACTTTTGGTCTGGAATCAAAGATGGAGCAGGGATCCCAACCGTTCATCTTGAGGAGGAAAGGTGCAATGAACTACGCTGGATGGCAGCGCAGCTACAGAAGGATTTTCCTCATTTCAATCGTTCAGCGCAGTACTATGCCACTTTGGTTGATCTTTCATCTTTCTTGTTCCTTGCAGCGGGCCCCAGTGCAGCTGCACGTGTTGGTGAGGCGGAGTTGGGGGAACGACCTCCTCCCCCAAACCCTCACAAGTTGAAAATTTCTTTCCGTGGGGCTCCAGCTGAGGAGTGAAGGGCAATGAACGTGATGTGGCTGGAAGGGGACTCTCCGCAGGGGAGTGCGAGGGAAAGTTCTATTTGCATCAACTGTTTCATGATCCTTTTTTGCATTCAACAGTGAATCAACCGTGTTGCAATTGTATGTTAGCACACTGCCGCTTTTGATTTCACTGCCTACATGTGATCATAGCCCAACTCTTGCAACACACCGGGCGACACCGGGTCAGCAGGGGGCTGGCCTTTCCACTGTGCTCATTGCAATGATGCCGGACCTGAGTCCAGAAAAGCCTTTGGGCCAGCTATGTGCACACTTTGACACTGCTGGCAAGTTAGAAAGAAACTGTAATGATCATCTCTTGCACCTTCGGCCCTTTCAGGTTGTTGGAATGAGAACTTGGGGGATCATGTGCACAAAGTCTTCAAGGAACCAGCGCTCTTCACTTCGGCTTGGGCCTTGGTGCAGTGGATCACAGCGGTATTTTGGAACACTGTGGAAATTGTGGGGGGAAAATTGCACTGAGGCTGTCAACATCTGGTTCTTCCAGCTAGTGGTCCGGTATCTTCAAGACCTACCCCCACGCTGGTTCCGCAAATTGTGGGTGTTGCCAAACATGTTGAACATGATGTTTGCAATCTAAATCACGTGTTTCATTGTTGAATATGCTTTGTGTGTTGGCAATGCTTACGCAGTGCTTTTGGATCCACAACCTCGCAACCCTGAGTCTACCCGCAGAATAGCCAGTTCTGCGTGCTCTTTCGCGAGTTCTTGTCTGGGTACAGACCCCATGAAACGGCGCAAACCAAGTTCCCCCATTGCGACCAGATCAGAGAGATCCGGGAGGGGACCGTCCGCGTCACAGACGGTCAAACAACGATCCTGATCGTTGCAGCTGTGTTGGCCTTCATAACGGAAGCGCCAAGACTGAGAGGTGTGTGTATACATTCTTTTCATTTTGCTAACAATTTTGATGACGTTTTTGCTTTTGGGGCGTCGCATTGAACATTCTGCCCCACAAACTCTGCCTCAGGAATGGGCTGACGATCAGCTCAGAGATCCCGATGTCCAGAAAATGCTGTCCAGATTCATGTGGATCCGCTGCGCCTTCACATTCTTCGAAAACCTGAGGATGCATTACTTGCATTCCTTGAGCTTCTTGGCCGCTCTCATTTCTCAACCAAAACACTCAGAACAACAAATTGTTGTCAGTCACTTCTCAGACACTTGTATGTCACTCAGAAACAGGACATGTGACGGCAGAAAAGCAAGCGCCATCGGCGATTCAATTCTATGCTAATATCAACGAGGCCATAGACACCGAGAAGCGCTTGACCAGAGGGAGTGCAGGGGGCAGATCAACTACCAAAGACATTTTGTACAAGCTTGCGCAAGAATACAACCGCATGACAACACAAAAGAGACACAGAATGGACAGCGGCAAGCGCCAACTTAACTGCAACATGTCACTTGGCGCAATAGGATTCTGTTGTTTGTGACCAAGTTTCTATGCAAGCACCAATGATGCTTCAGGTTGAGAGCCCCTCCACAGGTGCATCTTGCAATCCATAGGCATTACGACCAATACAGTCATCAGCTATCAGGACTTTAAGTTGCTTTTTGGACACATTGCGCAAACTAGTGTTCAAAAAACTCCAACCAAAGCAATGCAGGACTACCCATGGATTTGCTACAGTTGCCAGGAAAGCCCGCAATACGCTGGAAAAGGAAATCTTCCAGGAGATCCTACAGGTCACCAATGAGGCCTCTGAGCTTTGGATCGAGCGCATGATTCAGGACACAGTGAAAGATTGGGAATCATTGGGACACATGAATAAGCCTTGAGATCCTTTTCTCTCTGTGAAAACACATTTGTTGCAGGATTTTGTCGCCAAGCTGGACAAAGCGCGACGTCAAAGGCGAAGGAGAACTTGTAAGTCTGTTGCGCAGGTCATCCAAAACTGTTAAGAGACATGTTCCACCTTTAGAGTTCAGATACGGCCTGTGACCCTGACCCAGAAGCTTGCCCAGCTAGATGAGCAAGGATACCTTCTGCTGATGGAAATTGTATTGCTTTGGTTTTGGCTTGAACCAAAGCTTCGAAATGAGTTCCCCGGCGATGTTGTTGATCGCCACAACCTTTGTGCTTCTTTCCTGTTTGTGCTTTTCTTGCCTCCCTGTGGCTTGGCAAGACCGGAGGTACTCCAGTAATCTGCCAAGGCCAGGGTTTAAGGTCTAAACCACAGGAAAGGACCATCTGGACAGCTTGAGAGGCACCAGGGAGGCAGGAAAGGACTCCTTGGACAGCCTGGGAGACACCAGGGAGGCAGGAAAGGACCAATTGGACAGCCTGAGGCACCAGGGAGGCACCTGGGAGGCACCAGGGAGGCACCAGGGAGGCACCAGGCAGGCACCAGGGAGGCAGGAAAGCACTAGGGAAGCACCAGGGAGGCAGGAAAGGACCAATAGGCACCAGGGAGGCACCAGGGAGGCAGGAAAGGATCAAGGTGATCCGATTGGACTGCAGCGCCTCATAAGGCATCTCCAGCGAAAAGTTCCGTACCACACCTTGGCAGAGCTCTAACTGATATTCAAGAGGCCAAGCAAGCTTCTAGGCTGTATGTGCTTGGAAGCCCTGAAAGTTTTTTGCTATTTATTGAATGTGGCATTTTAATCATGTGCAAGATAAAATCGAGGTCATTTTAATGTCACTTTAGGGGAGACTGGAAACATACGAAGGTGGCGGGTGGTGCTGACTTCTTCCGCAAGTCCGTGGCTAGCTTTGTTCCAGACACTGTGAAGACCACTTTGTTCACTGATGCGCTGGGATATGATGGATGGGCTGCTCTTGGTGCTCTCGAGGACACTATGCAAGCTGTCATGTGGTTTAAGGTGTTGAGAGACATTCTACCAAGGATCAACTTAGCATCATTATTATGCTTATTTCACATAAATACTTCCAACACATTCCAACACCATGGAGCACGAGAACACATCTGGCAACGCATTTCTTTGCGGCACCGTGATTCTGGACAGCAGTGGTGATTCCCTTGCAGCCCAAATCGCCAACAATGTATACAATCAATGTAGAGCTGGCACTTTGGAGCTTCAAGGATTCCCGAACTTCCAGCCCTTAGTAGCAAGCCTAAAAGAGGGTCCACCAGTCAGTGCTTTGAAGGACTTCAAGGTGTGTTCCCGAGCGGATGCTACTGTAGTCTGGTAGTGCTACAAGTGTATGCACAAAAGATCCTGGATGATGATACAACCGCAGAGAGGGCAACAGCAGCCATCACGGAACACAATGCCAAATACAATGTCGAGGGAGACTTTCTCAAGCAAGAAGCATCGGAAAAGAGGACAGCCTGACCAACCTGATGCTGTGTTTAAATCACAAGCTGTTCATGTGTTCAATTGGAAGAAATAGATTGGGCCTCATATAACACCTGCAGACCACCCCGGCCAGTCCCCAAGCCTCAGGCCAGATGAGCAAGAGCAATCTGAAAGCAAGCGCCTCAAAGTGGATGAGATGGAGAAGTGCACGGAGGGAGATATTTCAAGCCTTGTCAACCCGTTTCATGGCAGCAATATTATCATTTGTATTATACATGCCATATGCTGTCACTGCTCGAAATGCCAAAATACTTCAACGCTTCAACCCCTAGGGGAGCACATAGTTATTCTTTATTCTTACAGTAGTGAAGCAAACACATGCTGGTCTTGCTCCATGGGTGTTCTGGCATTTGTGGTGGAGGTCAATGACGGGCAATCTGAGGCACAAGTTCAATGTCAACAACACTGCGGAACTCCTGACAGCTGGGGATGGAAACGCCATCTACCTCTCAAGCAAGTCGAAGAACTGTTTTGGCCAACACAGGGAGCTGTTGCCTGTTATGCCAGTGAGTTTGTCAACAAGCTATGGATGTTTGTTTACATAGATGATTGATGTCGTCTTTGCAGTTATTCAGTATGCAACAATTAGTCAAAGAAGTTGCACTCACTCAGGTTCTCATTCGGATCGGGCGAATGGCGAGGAGGTGCTGATTCTTGGCCTTGCACTGATTTTTGAACTGAGTTGTTGCCCAACAAGTTCCTGCTGTCGGAACAATGTGCGGAGGGATGTGGAGGGAGAAAGCTGAATGTTAGATAGGAAAGACACTTCCCACTATGTGGGGTGGGGTCATCCAATAAAGCATGCAAGGTTCAGGTATACCAATACCTTTTGTCCTTCGACTCAACAGGAATGGGCACCCCCATGAATCAATCGTGCATCTAAGGAGGCAAAAGAAACCATGGATGACGCACAGGGTCGCTGGTTCAAATTTACGGTGTCTGGTGATACCGTGATGCTTCTGGAAAAGGCTGGGCTCCCCGAGCACCTTCACACGGCGTCTGTAGTGGACCGCCCATCCTTCCTGCGCAAGATGTTGGTGGAGCTTGAAGATGCAGGGGAGGCAAATGGTGAACTGGTATGTATGGGAATGGTGTAATGGTGTAATGGGAGCCTGCACTGCAAACCTAGCAATCGTATGTTGTTTTGTTTTCTTCAATGGTTTCATGTTCCCTGTTGTTTCAGTGAGTGTATTGCCAACTATTCTTTGGGTCGGATGTGATTGATACTCCCTGCAGGTGAACATACAGGTCTCCCATCACAAAAGGACCACGATCGGCGACCAAGTGGGTTGGTTGGAGGACAAGCCAATTTATTTTCTTCTCGATGAACCACCCAACGACAAGGGAAAGAAAAAGAAGAAACCGCCTGCACCTTCTCAAAAGAATTTTGGTGCCAAGCTGAACATCAACAAGTTCAAGAGCAATTCAAAGCTCATTCTTGGCTGGCGCGTTAGGCGAGGCCGCAAAACTTTGAGTTCCGTTTGCAAATTTACATGCTGGAGGTTTAAGAGGATAATAAGAGGGCATTTGGCTTGCAACTGTTTTTTGTTGAACTCACAAATTGGATCAGGGTGGAAAGCGTGAAGGAGAAGATGACCCTGACCCCACTCCGCCCGATCACGCTTCTCGTGGGTGGCCTTGAGCTGGACTCTGTGATTGTACGCTTGATGTAGATGTAGATCAGGTGCCTGCCACACAGCTCGGCCAATGCATAGTGACAAGCAATGGAAAACAAATACTGTTGGCATGCTCTGGAACTGATTCACTACAAAAATGATACGACTGCTGGGGGTCACTATGCCTGAAGCTAGCCCGTTGCCTCAAATCATTTACGAGACTAGCAAGACTTCAACCTACAATAATTTGACACAATCAGAACTACACCGATTTGCTTGAAATGTGCACGGGTAGCGTGTTAGAGTTTTGGAATGAGGCCGGACAGCATTTTGGAAACATGTCCGTGGACTGCCACCAGAAAAATATTGCAAGCCATTGTGCTTTTAACATCCTCGACACTTGGTACAAACACCAACTGCAAGCAGTTGACTGCTCAACATGCTCATGTTGGTAACCATGTTGGTTTTGCATACTTTCTAGCTTTTTGGGGTTCAATCTTGCCAAGCGAGCAAGACTTTGTCAGTTACCATGGCAAGCAATGGCCATGATTCGGATTCTGATTCGCACCTCACTCCCAAAGCCTCATTTGCTCCTCCGGCAACTTGACACCCCACGTTGATTCACCCACAATGCAAAACGATTTGCAAGAACATGCGAGAACTTGATGGCAACAATAATAAGTAAAATAGAATCTGTTTTGTTATTGATTGAGGCCTTCAACCTAAAAGCTTTGATGGCAGAAGTTGACGGTCCACAAACGAAAGCCAAAGCAAAGGCAAAGGCAAAATCGGCTACCACCTCTTCAAGTCAATCGATGCTAGCTACACCAGTGGGCAAAGATCCAAAAGGTTCTAGCCAACTTGGCCTAAACTAAAGTGTTTTGAAGGGTACATGTGTGTGTGGTAGATTAGTGCCAGAATCGTATTGAGAAAACAATAGTGGTTGGTCCTGAGGTGAGCCACCTTCTCGAGACGACCCGTTGCCAAAAAGACCTTCTTCCGATGAATCTTCGCCCACCGACCAGCCGCAACAAAAACAAAAGGACAAGAAAGAGAAAGGCAAGAAGGAGAAGAAAGGTAAGGGTAAGAAAAATAAGAAGGCTGATGACGATGAAGATGAAGATCCTGACCCAAATCATGACCCAATTAAGGGTGGTGCGAACGATGATGATGAGGAGGATGATGATGATGGGGGCTTTGGCTTAGCTGGATTGGAGAGTCTTCTCAATCCATCCGGAGCCGGTGGCCCTGCAGCACCTTCCAAACGGCCAGCTGCAGCTGCGAAGAAGGCTGCCATGAAGAAACCTGCCAAGTCAAAGGTGGCTTTGATCTATTATAATAACTTCAAGTGGCCTTTTGATTTTACCAAGCTCTTCAAGATAGTTATGCAATTTCTAGAATCCTGGTTCAGGATTGAACTGAAATGGTTCTAAGGATGCGGATGCGCAGTTCGGTCATCTAATTGAACGTGCTAAAGATTGTGCAGAAGATCCCAATCCAAAATCTGGTGAACTTATTCCCAACTCAGAAGCGGAAGTTGACCTTTTTGCAGGCTTTTATCCACCCGCTGGAAACTATGAAGCAGATCTGCATCTGCCATTGGGTCCTTTCTCAGGACAAGAAAAGACCTACTACAGCAACTTGGAGAGTTGGCAACTGGAAAGGTTCAGGCACGGGCCCCCTATGGATTGAAATTGTGTTTCTTATGGGTGTCATCGCTGCAATGCTTTCCGAAACTGAATGAATCAAATGAATCTTTGTGAGGGACATTCGGGAAACCATGGACGGGATCGAAGAGTTGGAGAAGAAGAAGAAGGAGAGACTGATGCTCGAGAACAGCCTAAGTGACCCAAACTCTGGGACTTGTGCTGGTCATGATCTAAGTTCTCTTGATCCCGACATGCAATTCGGTCAGAAACTGGTTTCCAACCTCATGGTTGCAGTTACTTTTCTTCTTTGGAATAGTCATCGAAGTTACCGGTTTGTTCTTTCAATGGCCAAAAATCACCCTACAAGCAGGTCCCAACTCTACGAATATTGCAATGGGTCTGGTGAATTTTTGGATGCTGGACGGGAAGGAGGAGAAGAACCGCCCTCTTCTGAATCTGTTCACGCCAAAACTGAATCAGATTCACCAAATTGGCCCGACAACCAACTTGGCCTGGACAGCAGTGTGGAATCAAAGGCTCATCGCCGCGGGGCCGGTTGTCTGAACATTCAGGAAATCTGATTAGTTAGATTTGGCAGTATGAGCACTCATAAACTAGCCAGTTCATGTCATGAACAAATTTGAACTGGCTCTTGTGAACTCCGCACCAAGGATATTGATATGAGTATTTCACCAAAGTCCATACCAAAGCCCTATTGCCGGATGGATGCTCATGAAGAATTGACTCAAGTGGATGAGGTGGGGAACGGATGTTTACCAGAGGTGAAACTAGCCTTAGTGAGGTAAAACGTGAGGTAAAACTAGTCTTAGCCCGCTATAATTCACTACTGCTTTCAAGCGCTGTTTAGAATATAGTTCTAGTGTCTAGTTGGGCAGGGCACATGTCCACCACCTGAGAATGACGGCTCTGATGGTGCGGGCGTGCCTGTTCAAGATGATGCACCCACGTCTCCCGAATTGGATGTTCACGAAGTTCTATCCGAGGACGCCGAGGACGGGTCTGACATACTAGTTGGGATTTAGTTGGATTGCTTACAATCTTGACTAACAAACACGAACCATCCACATGTGACATACTCCAGTTGTTCTTTCCTGAGGATCTTGACGATCGTTCGCCGACACTCATCCCTGATGATGTGATGGAGGAAGGTTCCCCTCGTGCTAACGCCTCTTAGTTGAATTGAACATATCACATGCCCTAAACTCCAACTGATAACCTCACCAACCAGAGCTGAGGCTGTTGCGCGCAAACGCAAGATCGAAGCAGGAAAGTGCCGTGCTGCAAAAGCAAGTCCCAAGCCACGTGCGAGCAGGAAACCAGCCAAGGCTAAGGCCAAGGCGGCACCAAAAAAAGCAGCCCGGCAAAGGCGGGAAAAGGATGAGGTGGAAAAGAAGATGCACTCAGCCACTCGTCTATTATTCTTCAACCCCACCTCTTATATATGGTATTTTTTCCAGTCCAACTGTTTCCTCATTTCCTTCAATCAATCCTTTTTTGATCAAACAAGGTCTATAGCGTGGCGTGGGCAAGAGCAAAGACCATGGGCAAATCAAAAGATGAGTGCAAAGAAGAGGCATCCAAAGCACGCGAACAGTGTCTTGTACTAACTTAAAGAAATTTGCTTTTGAAGTGCTCAACTTTGACTTGGCCTTCAACTTTGTTGACAATGAGATCAATCGGACAATGCGAAGGATGAGGGACCTGCTGACCATCCAGCGGTTCAGCGTTTGCTTGGGGTTGAGTGATCGACTTCTGATTCTTTCAATGGGGAAAAGTGTGCTGCGCGGATGCGCTTTCAATGGGGGAAGCGGGGATTCTTTCAATGGTTCAAGAATTTTAACCACTGTTCAAAGATCAAGATGCTAACTGGAAAGGATCTGAAAGCAACTGGATTGGCATTCTATATATTTTGGAAAAATATATAGAATACAACTTAATTTTATAATCAAAATAACCCATTTTCTAAGGTTATGAAACCACAATGGGACAAATATTCACATATAAATATAAATCATGGAAAAACCTATGTTTTGGCATCGTTAAGCTGAAATTCTTTGCCGCCGAGGAACCCTATAAAATACAGTATTTTTTATACCCCACACACATAATATATTGTAAAATTATAGGGGCATCAATGACCCGGAAGTGACGACAGCCTTGTTTTCATGACAAGGGTCGGCGGCAGGGGGCACCAGCGTATATCATGGCGCCGGTCCGGCGTCTATTTCCTTGCCTCGGTTGGAAACCGAAGGTTATTTAAGGGCAGGGAAAAGGGCACAGGGGTTAGGGGGGTCGCCCGGCGGAGGATGGGGGTCTGGTAACCGCCAGCGGGCGGGACGGCGGTCGCGCGGCGCGGGCAGGTGAGGTACGCGCTGCAAGAGCCGAAAAATAGGACAAGCCAAAAACACTCAAAACGCGGTAGCTTCGGTAGGTCGGCGCATGGTCGGTCGCAGGGAAGCAAGCCCCTCTCTCCTACAGAGAGGAGAACATGCCTACGGCAAGGACACGGACTTGGGGTCTCGGGGGCCGGTAAATTCCCGCCCGAATCCGGTCAACAGATTTAAATGCATCTACCACACTTGAGAGACGTGGAACAAAAGCGATAACCACGACGAACAAGAGAACAACGGCTGTAAAATAATTCCGCCCTAGGAATGATATTACTGAAATCGTGCAGGGGAAGGGGGGTCCCCCATTATTTCACTCCGCTTCAATTGGTTGACGGGGTGATTTGTTACTTGATTCCTTTGATTTAGACTGATTCAATCGTTTGGAACATCAACTGACCTCCTTCGGAGATCGCTTTCGCCGGCAAGCCCAGATGGTGAGTGGAAGGTCTGTAAGCAAAAGTCGGCACGCATTGCGGTTCAGACAGGTTATGGTGGTGATGAGTGGGTGTGAGAGAGGACGCGTGAGTTTGAGGAGTGTGAGTGAGTGCAAGTTTGAGTGAGAGTGAGTGTGAGTGAAAGTGAGTGTGGGTGAGAGTGACGGGGAGCAAGAGTGAGAGAGTGAATGTAATCGAAAGAAAATACATCTGAGACAGCACCAAGTAAACTCTTGCAATCTAAACAAATCAACGCGATCGATCAACGCGATCATTGCCACCCCTTCCAACAGTTGGAACCACCTTCATTGGGACCATCACGAGAAAATCCTGAAGTGGCCATCATGCGGCTGGTTTGATGTGAAGCAGCTGCATTCTAACGTCGTTGGGTCCACCGTTAAAAGATTGGCGCCTCCCACTAGTGTCCAAAACCGCCTACCTGTGCAAGATTGTTGCCGCCCAATGGAGTTTGTT